GCTATTTATTATTGCAAGAAATCGATGTAAAAAGGTGCTTTCTGATGCTAAACTCCATTATTCTCAGTTCACTAAATCTCGCATCTTATCGCAGAAGTTAGGCTCTAAAGACTTTTGGAAAATCTTCAACAGCATTATTAACAAGGGTAGCCATTAAAACAAAATTAAAAAATCAAAGATTTTAGTTTTATTATGAAACATATTTAATAAAACTTTTTTGTTAACAACGCTGTTGCAGATTTTCCAAAAATTTCTAGAGACTAACTTCTGAGATAAAATACGAGATTTAGTGAAGTGAGAATAATGGAGCTTAGCATCTGACAGCACCTTTTTACATTGATTTTTTCTGTTTGTTCTCAAGAGAGCTGTTCTTCTGAAAAATATTTAAAAAATGAGGGTAAAAATCATGGATTAGAATGAGACTTGACTTGGAACCGATGAGAAGGAAAAAAAGCTTCCATTTCTATTTCTAGTATGCAATGATCTCTTTAAATCTTTCATCTTGTAGTAAGTACAAGATGAAAGATTTAAAGAGATCATTGCATAGTCAGAACCACCTAAGGGAGAAAAAGGGAAAAAACTGAACACAAACTACGATTATCTGATTCACAAACTACGATTAAATGATTAGGGTTGTCATGAAAACAAGTCACAAAGTGAACTATCTGAGTAAGTGATTGAGAAATGCAGAAGTTATAGGCTTTAGTGCCAGTAGGGTCAGTGGTGGTAGAGCCAAGTCATTTAGTGTGATGAGCATTAAAGTCACCAATAACAACAATATTGGTAGAGGGGTAAAGAGAGAGAGCATGGTCAATATAATCAAAAATTACATCTAAAAATCTATAGAGTGCAGCCTTGGAAAGAAGAAGAATGATAAAGAACAATGAGAAAGGTGAAAGAGTGAAAAAGTACTAAGCGGAAGCACATAAAAGAATGGTCAAAGGATTGAAACTTGATTTCATAACAAATAGGCAAATTGATGTGTATGTATACCCAAAGCTCATTTATAGATAGAGCACGAACTCCAAAGCAATGAGCTATGCAATTTTCTCAGTCCTGTTAATTAACCATAAGTCCTAACATAGGGCTCCTCTTGTGGCCTCAACAATATGCACCAAAAGTATAAACAGGGACACCATCCATGCCTAACTTGGCACTATTAATACTCTAATATTTTGCAGCTGTTGATGGAATCAGCCTCTCTGAGATCTACCACAAAGTTTGGAGAACCTTAGCCGGCCTCAGAACCATTAAACTAACTTTTAGAGCTGTACCCTCATTAGGAGATAACAGGAAGAGTTGCATATAAAGCCACTATAATGGAGGCACAAGCAAAAATAAAATGAGAAGAGTCAAGAAGATCCAGCATCCATCATCCTAGGCAGGAAACAATGTAATACAGATTTTCATCTACGCAAGCCTAATAGATGAAGAAGGGGTTTGGGGCTGGTCAACAGAACTGTTTTGCTTACCCCCAAAGTCTTTCCTTAGAAGGCCTCCTACAAAACTGTAGCTGCATGCAGGTAACATCTATCTAAGATGAGTATTTTTATTGAGACACCAACTCTAGTCTTTACTCAACCAAGAACCCCAAAGCAATGGAATTTTAGCTGGATGCAGTTAACATCTGCACATAGTATGTACTTTTATCGAGACACCATCTCTAGCCTTTTCTTAACCAAGAGCCACAAGGTAGGGGATTTTTAATTTTTTTGTTTCTCCTAGCTTTTGCCTAAAAAAGCGCACTCTACAAGGTAGTAGGGGATGGGGCACGTAGTACTGGGTTACATAATACCAGTAGCAGGGTGATCATGATAATCTTTCCTCTGACCTGACCTGGAGTAAGTAAAAAGGAGCTACTTTCCAACAAACAGTACCTTAAAACATCGAGAACTTAGTAACAGTCACAGTAAAAGGATGAGACTTAACTGAATGAAAAGTAACACAAGAATAAATTTTAGTAGATGGCACAAAAGAAACTAGCTCTTTAGAGCAGTGCCCAATATTATTTATAGAAAAAAGAAGGAGAAGCTACATTATAAGTTACATTACAATGTGATAATGGTTGGAGGTTGGCTGCAAGAGCAGATCCAACTATGTTTAAAAAGCGCTTATGCATATTTTTTAAAAGAGAAAGGCGATTGTTGGAAGATCCGCCCCAGATATGGCAGCAGTATTCCATACGGATTTGAGATTTAGAGAGATAAAGAATAGAATTCTGAGTAAGAAAGTGGCGAGCAGGATAAAGATGCAACCTTAGCAGATGCTAATTTTGCAATCAATTTGATATATGGTTTTCAAGAAAGATCAGAAGTAAGAGTTAATCCTAGAAGATGAAAGGTAGATGACTCATTGAGTACCTTACCCTTCATAAATTTAGGAAGATCTAAATTATTGCAATAACGATTAGCTGAAAAAAATCTGAGTTAAAGTTAACCAGCCCCATGCTGTAGGAAAAGTGAGATCTTTTTCAAACTAAAATGCCTCCTCCAAGCAATCAGAGAGTGTTGGCTTTTGATCAAGACAAGAATAAACAGTATCATCAGCAAACAATGCAACCATAGATGTGAGAATTTCTGGGAGATTGTTAATGTAAATTAAAAAAAGTATAGGGCCAAGGTTAGAATCTTGAAAAACCCCCTGAAGTTATAGGATATGAAGATGGCTGCTGTCCATCGAGGACAACTTTCAGACTAAGATTGGTAAGGAAGAATTCAATAATCTTAAAGATGCTACCTAATACACCATAATATGAGAACTTATGGAGAAAACCAGCATGCCAAACTTTATCAAAAATAGGTGTGAATGTAAGAATTCACCTATTTTACCAGGCCAAGCATGTGATTATTGTAGTCTTTACATATTAAAGAAAGATAACCATCAACACTAAGATCACAAGAGACAGTTGAACTTAAATCAACTTATAGATAGCATGTAGGTCTAGTGAACTTTGCAAGAGATAAGACTCAACAGTAGAAAAGTTACTTCGAAGACCATGAATATTAGTGAATGATAGGTTTAGAGATCTTGGTGATGACTATAGTTTTTGGTAAATGAGTTGTTTTTAAATTTATTAAAGAAGATGACTCAAAAAATAGATGTTACTTAGTACACTAATTAGTAGTCCAAGCAGTTGCTTCATTACTATTAATAAACCCTTAGCCAAAAGAAAGGGCCCTAAATGTGGCCTTAACAATGCACAACAAAAGTACCAACAGGGCAACATTCATGCACACATGGCACTGTTAGTACTCGAACTTTTCAACCATTGGTCAATTCTTTCGGAATATAGTTAAGTATTCTTAAAAATAATTATTAAAAAAACAAAACAATTCATTGAAATCTGTTAATCATGATAATGTTTAACATAACAAGTAACAAAAAATGTTATAACAAAGGTAAAGTTTTATAAAGATGAGTTCTTTCATCGTTGCTTTGATCAACTCAATTCTTCTCAGTATTTAATAACCTTTGTCATACTGTTCCAAACAAATAATACTTTTTCTGCAACAAAAATACTTGGAGCTTTTTAAAAATTTTTAATAACTGTTCCACATTTTTCTAATAACTGTTCTGGAATATGTCAATATAAAAACTTTGAGTTATAATATCTATTTTAAACTTATTAGATAGTCTTATTTTGAAATCTAATAGAAATATTCATCTGGCAAATTTGAAAAAAAGAATAAGAAACTTTTACTTAACAATATTGAGACATAAGTGTATTAGTTATTTTTTTTATTTAATATTTATTCAATAGAGAATATTAATAATTCAATAAATAATAATAACTTAGAACAATTGGAAAATAAGGCATTCTTCTATAATTAATTCAATAACATTACTTTTTTTTTTCTAAATATAAATTTCTGGTAATGGCACTATCAAGAAACATTTTATTTGAAAGTTTTAAACAATCGGTCTAACTCCATACTTAATCCATAAATGATAAATGTTCCATAAAAATATAAATAACACAAATAATTTCACCATTTAATCAGTTGTCATTTACAAAAGTATTGAAAAGTCAAATTGTTTCATGAAAATACTTTCGCAATAAAATGTGGTAGTTAACTACTGGTAGAATAATTGTGCAAGAGTATACCTCTGAAAGTACTGCATTCAACCAAAGTTTTTTTAATTTTATGATAACAAAATTCATGTTATTGAGTTTAGGTTAATGAGAATGTTGCAAATAAAACAAAAAAAAAATTAAATAAAAATTCAGAGTGCTCACGCTACTTTAGCTAAGTACTTACGCTACTTTAGCTAAGTACTCACGCTACTTTAACTGGAACCATATGGAGAGTACTCTACTTTAGCTGGAGCCATATGGAGATGAATTAAATAAATAAAAAAATTCATTCACTTTTTACAAACATTCATGGTATTTAAAATAATTTTATCAATTAAATCTTGCTATTTGCAAAATTCAATGGTTTTTGTGAGACTAATTTAAATTTTGACTGTTATATTTTCAGATTTGATTGTAGATTTAGTGTTGATGGGTACTATCCTAAAATTTGTAGCTTTTCCAATAGTCACATGCTTGACCTAGGCATATACTTAGGCATTAACTCATCTATTTGTCGCAAATTTACATTCAACCTTCGCAGATTTGCATTCATTTTATCTATATTCAATTATGTAAATACTAATATGAATAAAAATACAAAAAAAAACTGACATGAATAAACTCTATATATATTAAAGTAAAAAAAAATTTAAAAAAATCTCTTTTTAAATTGTGAACGCTTTATTTTATGTTTTTAAAAGTACTATTATGACCTTCTTTTATTTAAAGAAGCTATTCCCATATTCTTCATCATCATCATCATCATCATCATCATCATCATCATCATCATCATCATCATCATCATCATCATCATCATCATCATCATCATCATCATCATCATCATTATCATCATCATCATCATCATCATCATCATCGCCATCATAATCATCATCATCATTTGTAATGATAACAGTAACCAACTTACCAATACTCTTTTTATTGAACCTACGGTACTCACTTCCAAGTGAAGTTAGGTTTAACAGAGAAAATCCCCCTAAAACATATATTTAACCAAAAGTTAATGACAAAAACAAAAAACCAGTTTACTTTTAAAATGTTACATTTAACGGTTCAGAAAATTGCTTCCTTTGTGGTGCTAAATGGTGTAGGTAAAAGGCATAATGGTATGCCATACCATTATGCCTTTTACCTACACCATACTATGGGTAGGTTTCATGGTATAGTTGGAAGGTGTCATGGTATGAAAAAAATCAAACTCATGGGTATAACTACTTTTTTTAAGATAAATGATATCAAACTAATATCAATGATCTAAAATTTTCACTAATAGAATTCCTTTGTACAATTTGCATCGGCTACTATTTTTATAACTGGGGTCTGTTCTAAGCAATTATTTTATAAACAATTACTAAATATTATTTTTACAATTTTATTAATATATAATTTATGTTGTTTTTTCCTCAAATTTTCTGTAAAAACACCCCAATAACAACCTTAACTAACTTTAACTCTAAAAATGTAAATTCAATATACTTAATCTGTAACAACATTACTATTATTCAAAAAAAAACTTCTCAAAATAAGAAAAACATAAAACTAATACAAGTGGTATTTCTTAAAACTAAAAAACCAATAGAAAGCAAATTAGCTAATTTTTTGGAAAAACTTTTTATCAAAAAGAATCGCAAAAAAAAATGCTGCTCTAAAACAAAAGAATTTTACTATTAAAAACTACATAATAATAACTAATCAAAAATAATAGCTGAGAAAAAGAGAGATTAGCAATAAACCATGTCAAACACACATAGCTATACTCAAACTGATTAAAATCAGTGTTAGGTGTCATTACCAAGTCTAATTTAACCTATTTCTGACTTTCAGTTTTTTAAAAAAAACAATGTATAGGTACCTATTTCATGAAGAAAAATATTCTAAAATTATGATAAGACAAGATATTTATTTAATAAAAAAAATTAACAAAAAAGTTTAACAAAAAAAAAAAAACTAAATAAAATTTCTGAAGTGGCCAAGGGAGCCCTTATTTGAACCTGTCTACATAGACCCACATTATTCCATTTAAGGTAATCTGAATCTATGGAAAATATGGGTAGTTCTCCTTTTAAATACTGCTGCTTATGAGAAATTTAGTGTACATTCACACACAACTTTTATGAAGCATATATACAAGACTTTTAATTTAAAAAAGTATTTTATAGATATTTTCAGTTTTAAAAAAACAGTATAAAATTTACAGTATAAAAATAAATGTAAAAACTTTGAAAAGTAAATGAAAAAAAATAAAGTTTTAGAACAGGTTTAAAATTATTTTACAAATGTTTTACATAAATTTTTTTAATATCTGTCTTTTTATGGTTAAATGTTTATTTAGGTTAAGCCCTTCAGCTGAAGTAAAAGGTTTACTTTTTGCACTTTTTTTTCCTAGTTTATTTCCTGCAAAAGCTGTTTTAATCTCACAAGCTCTTTGTTCTTCAAGTAACTGCCATTTGACTTTATCATTTGTAAGGAGTTCTTCACATATTGCTTGTACACTTTTTCTTTTTTGTTTTCATATTCTAGTAAACTGAGTTTTTAGCTGCTGTTTATGCAGATACATCAAGACATATAATCGACCTTTAGGCTTCTTGCATAGCAGATCATGGGGTTTGTAATCTTGGAGATTTAGGACTTTGATCTTAGGTGATTGAAAATGGATTATTCTTATTTATTCTTCTTTGCATCTTTTTTTTTAATTAATAGTGAGATACCTTTACCAAGTAGTATATACAACCTTGAAGTATTATATATCCAAAAAGCAAAAATGCATATGAACTGGCTGCTTCTTCTGGTAAAACTATGTACTCTGTACTCTTTAGTGTTTTTACAGATGGAAGATAAATATCACTGTTTATTATTTTCTAGAGAAAAGGTTATCTATATTCTTAATGGATAGAAAATGAACCACCAGGATGTGCTTTTGGGGCAACAGCAAGTAGAGGGATGCAAGACTATCTGTTTGAAAACTTAATTTTTGTTTTCTAGTTTAATTATATTTTTCTGCTTTTTTTTCCATTTTTGTATTTAAACTAAATAGTCTTTATTGTTTATGAAGATACTAAAATGATTTAAAATATGTAAAATTAAATACATTTTTTGTTTAGGCTTGTGAAACACTTTATGCGATTTGATGCCCACAATCAAAAATCTTTGTGTGATCAAAAATCTCTTGATCTTTGATGGTTGTCATTTAATTTATAGTACTACAAAAGCAGCCATGGATAACCATATCCTTATTATTTATCTACCACCAAACCACTTGCATGCATTATACCCAGTAGATCTTTTGTTTGTCTTTGGACCATTTAAGATTAAGAGAAAGAAAATTTTTATTATAAGGTTTGTAATATTATAAGGTTTACATGTTAATTATAATAATGCTATTAAATAATGACAAATATTATTATTTTTACATTCATAGACCAAGATTACTTACACCTGATTATATTTCAAATTTTATACAAACCATATGCATAATGTCTTAAAGCAACATTAGCCTAAATACATAGTAACCTAGTAACAAGGTAAACTAGCTTTAAAAAGTGTTAAAAATTAAACTTCTGGTTAAAAAAAAAGGTCATCCACATAATTAGTAAATATTAATTAGACCCCTTGGACCAACATAACCCCACCTTACTATTTTCTTCACAACTTGTTCTATCTATCTATCTATGTATATACATATATATATATATATATATATATACATATATATATATATATATATATATATATATATATATATATATATATATATATATATATATATATATATATATATATATATATATATATATATATATATATATATGTATATATATATATATATATATATATATATATATATATATATATATACATATATATATATATATATATATATATATATATATATATATATATATATATATATATATATGTATATATATATATATATATATATATATATATATATATATATATATACATATATATATATATATATATATATATATATATATATATATTTATTTTTTTCGCAATATTTGCTGTAAAAACATAAAAAAAACATTAAAAAAAAAAAGTATATAAATATATATATATATATATATATATATTTATATACATGTGTTTTTACTAAATAATAAACACATGTATATAAATATATATATATAAATAATATAATATATATATATATATATATATATATACAAATATATATATATGTATATATATATATACAAATATATATATATATAAATATATATATATATATATACATTAGGGTGTCCCAAAAAAAAAAATTTTTTTTTTTCCTTTAGTTTTGTGTGTAGTTTTGTCCGTTAAAAGTGAAAATAAGAAGATTTTTGAAAAATTTTGAAGTTTGACCCCCCCGCCCTTCTTTTAAAGTTTTTACCCCCTCTGCCGCCCACTTTTTCAAAATTATTCACTTTTAAACTGATTTTAGGCTAAATATATAAATGTATTAAATATGTTTTGTATCAATATTGATCACTATTATAATTCTAAACTATGTATCATAGCTAATATTAGTAAACATAATTTGTTTCAATTCAACGATTCTCAAAAATTATTAAATATTATTATTCAATGCTTGAGATGAGAAAATTTTTTATGATGAATATTAATGTTACATACATTATTCAAATAATTTTATAATTTATAGCTACTTTTTTATCTATAGATATAATAGCATATATAAAAAATATTTGATCAGTTATGAGAAATAGTAAATTGAGGAAAAATGATGAGAAGTTTGATAATATTGTTGGTAAATTATTACCTACCCTTGAAGCAAAGATGTATAGTCAGCTACCAACAAATGGAGATGTTGTACGCCATTATCTTTATCTTACAAGATTTGAATTGAAATTAACTGGTAAAAAAGAAGTTGCATCTGTAGTTTGGGAAAAAGTTTATGTTTTTTGGAAAATGGCAGGAATTCCAATAAAACAGAAGAAAGATATTGTCAGAATGATACTACATCTGATTCATCTTAGAGAGAACTTGATTAAAAATGCAAAAAAAAAAAGTTATGCAGCTCAACTTCTGAGTTTTACTAATAAACTATCATTATTGTTTGATATTGCAGCATCAAATGCCGAAAATTTGATAAGAAAAGATACCTTGCGTAGTATCAATAGTCAGATCTCAGATATAGACTTTCTCTCAGATCAACGTCACTTAAAAAAGCAATTTTTGGGCCCATTAGACGAGAGTTATGCTATGAAAGTGAAAAGAATGGAGGAAAAAGAGAAAAATAAAATCAAGGCTATTGAAAAAGAGAAATCTAGAAAAGAAAACATAAAAGAAAAAAGCTTCAATGTATTGGCAGCATTTGATAATGAAGGCAAAACTCATAATAAAAATGAAGAAAGTACTATTGCTAGACAGAAAAAAAAAATCAAGATATTAGAAAACCCTAAAGTTTCCTTAATGGCTGATAGGTTGAATCTATCCAACAGAGAAAGATCTGGAATCATTTTAGCTGTAGCTGAAGCATTAGGTCACAATTTAGATGAAATATCTATCTCAAAAAGCACAGCGTACAGATCAGGTAATAAAATTCGACAGCAAGTTTCAAATGATCTTAAGAAAACATTCATTTCACCCATGTACTCTTCCATTCACTGGGATTCAAAGCTGGTATCTGAGGTCGATGGTAAAGTGGAACGTTTGACTATTGTTGTAACAGGAAAACCAAGTGCACCTGAAGGGAAATTGTTGTGTGTATCCAGGATTCCTGATACAACTGGGCGAAGTCAGGCAACAGCTACCATAGATGCTGTAAAGACATGGAAACTGGAAAAAACACTTGTGGCAATGATTTTTGACACAACTCCATCAAATTCAGGTTGGATAAATGGTTCTGCAAAGTTAATTGAAGAACACTTTAACAAAAAGTTACTTTGGTGCGCCTGCCGACACCATATTTTTGAAAGAGTTTTGTCATCTGTTTACTTCAAAGTTTTTGGAGAATGCAGATCTCCAAATTATGAGCCATTTAGACACTTTAAAAATGAGGTATGGCCTAAGCTTTCATTAACTTCAGATACTACTTTTAGAAAAATAAAGATCGAAGAACCAGTATTAAAGACCAAAAAAGCAGAAGTAATAATTTTTTTGTCTGGTTTACTTAACCGGAAATCTCGAAAAATATTAAGAGATGATTATCGAGAATGTTGTCAACTTGCTTTGCAATTACTCAATCCAAAACAAATAAATATACAGTGGCACAAACCTGGAGCCTTCCATCATGCTAGATGGATGTGTACAATCTTGTACACATCAAAGATGTTTGCTTTTGCTGACCTGGCAGAGTATGAAGAAAGTTTTATAGAGAAATTGTCAAGGTTTTGTAAATTTACTTTACTATTTTATGTGAAAATATGGCTTACGTGCACAAGCACAGTCGATGCTCCATTTAATGACCTGGAATTCTACAAAGAAATGCTTATTTATAAAAAAATTGACAATGATGTTGCTGTTGCTGCCCTGGAAACATTTAATCGGCATCTTTGGTATTTAACTGAAGAAATGTCCCCTCTTTCATTATTTTCTGATAAGGTATCTGATCGAGATAAAACTAAAATGGCTAAAATAATTCTGAAAAATATAAAAGAAAACTGTGAACATGATATAGGCTTTCCACAATTTCCTCTTCTGAAGCAGAGTACTTGTTTGACTGATTTAATTGGACCAAAATCAAGTAACATTCTAAATTTATTCGGATATTCAAATGAGGATGGCGGTTGGTTGGTAGAATCCCCAAAGTTTTGGAAAACTAACACAAATTTTAATCACATGTTTGAGCATATCAAATCACTGAAATCTGTAAACGATACAGCAGAACGAGCTGTAAAACTAATTCAAGACTATGCAACATCTATTACAAAAGATGATGAGCAGAAAGAATTTCTTTTACGTGCAGTAGAACACCACCGAAAAGTTCTTCCTCACATAAATAAACAAGCAATTCAAAAACTTAATTTTTGAAAATATGCTTTAAAAAATCTCTTTTTTATTATACCTTTAAAATATTGTTATTTTGTTGTTATAATTTAAAAAAAATGAGATTTTGAACTTCTTAGTACTTATTCCCATTGTGCTTTAATATTGTTAACTTATACCAATCATTTCTATCCTTCTTTGTTTAATAATTGAGTATTTATCAAATTTTTTGTTTTAATTAAAAATTATAATTTATAAAATTCCTTATTTAGGCAGAAAAAAATCATACGACAAAGGTAATATTAGAAAGGATGGGGGGGGGGGGGAGGGTCATAAACCAGGTGAAAATTTATTTTTAATAAATTTTCATTTTTATTTATTACAAAACTATTTGAAATTATAATAACAGTTAATTATATTGGATATAAATAATAGATATATAAAAGGAGTATATTAAGGATTGTTTTAGGGCAAAAACACATTAAAGGGGTTATGAGGGGGGAGGGGTCAAATATGAATTTTTTTTTGAAAATAACTATTGATTATGTTTTATCAAACAAAATTACACAAGAAAATTATATAAAATACGAACATAGTTGATTATCAAAAATAATTTTAGTCCTTTGTGTCATTTTTTTAGAAAAAAAACACAAAAAAAAGAGCGGCGGGGGGGTCAAATATGAAAATTTTTTGATTTTTTTTTTTTTTTTTGCTTTTAGTAAATAAAAATACATATGAAACTGTTTGAAAATCTAGAAATAGTTAAAAACTAAAAAAATTCATGTCATTTTGGGACACCCTAATATACATATATATATATACATATATATATATATATATATATATATATATATATATATATATATATATATATATATATATATATATATATATATATATATATATAGATATAGAAATTTAGGCAACGGTACCGACCCACCCTCCCCCACCCCCCGTTTCGGCAAAAATTGACATTTTTTCGCAATATTTGCCGTAAAAACGTAAAAAAAACGTAAAAAAAAAAAGATCCTCAAATTAAAAAAAGGACCAAATTGGCACCCAAATATGTTCAACGCTGTTGAAAACGGTCTAGAAAAGCCCCTGATGTATATATACATCAGTATATGTATATATATATATTATATATATATATTATATATATATATATATTATATATATATATATATATATATATATATATATATATATATATATATATATACATATATATATATATATATATATATATATATATATATATATATATATATATATATATATATATGTATATATATATTCAATTAACCTTTTGAAACCATTAAAAATCTTGTATAAAAGACATCAAATTTTTTCAAAACTAACCTCGTAAATAAGGACAACATGCTTCTGCATTTCTTTTGACAATATCTGGCTGAGTAAGATTTTCTGTGAAATTTAAAAATAAAAACTAACTTTTATCATGTTTTAATGTAAAAATAAAAAAATTAAAACGAAATTTAATATGTTATAGTGTAAAAATAAAAATGAACTGTTTTCATGTTATAGTGTAAAAATAAAAAAAGATAAAACGCAACAAAACAACACTATAAAAATTTGGTGCCATCTCTTAATGGTTAACCAGTAAAAAGATATCCGTCAGCAAAATTTATACTAACAAACTATAAAAGCTAAGTAAGAACATCTAATTAGCTATTTTAAAAATATTTAAAACTTCTTTATTTTTGTTTCTAAAACTTTCAAAAAGTAAAATTTGCAGCTTTAATTGAATGGATTCAAAAATTAAAAATATTGAAAAATAATAAACTTTATTATATCTTTATATAATAACATATCATATTGTGATTATCTATTAGGTTATAATCAATAAAATTGTATAATATAATAACTGAACTAATATCATGATTAATTATTAGGTTAAAATCAATGTTCAAACCTAAAATATAAAAATAACAAAATATATAAACTCAAATGTTCCACTAACCAAAATACTTGTTGAATCAAAGAGCAAGTTGCATCTTTTAAATAAAACTGTTTCTGAAAATGCATGATGAATTTTTTTAAATTCAACTAAAAATAAAACTCTAGAATCCTACAAAAAAAGCTTTTATTATAGTGTCATTAATAAATACTAAAACAATCTCTCATATCTAATTGTATTACTTATTGCAAAGATAAGATAGATAACTGTTTGTATAAAACTAGTGCTCTACTTTATTTCTTGAATCTAATGACAACCCTCATCCTAGCAAGCTAGCTATGTATAAGAGAGACAGCTGGATAGCTGTGCAACATAAAAGCATATGGCTGGAAAACTAGTAAGTAAGGTTAATATTCATTTCTGTTAAGATTCAATGGAGAACATTTAAAATATCCTCCTCGTTGTTTTGTAGCAGATAACAACTTAGTATAACTTTCAGCCAGAGATACCAACACCTTTCAAACCTGTGCCAACCAATATTAGATGAAAAACTAAAAATATTATGCACAAGGAGATGATAAACCTATTCATAATCCAAAATAAAATTTAAAATAAATTTTTACTTTAATGCTCTGACACGATAAAATTGATAGAGGAAAGATATAATTTAAAGCAAACTATCTATTTTGGTTTTCTTAGTGATAAAAATACAAATAACAAGACAATTTAACTAACAAAAAAGATAGTTAGCTGATAACAACAGAGAGATTTTGCAGATTATTTTTTTATTATCAATGAATTGTTTCTACTATCATTGCATTTGTTGTTTCAGGTGCATATTAGCATTTATGAACTGTGTATAAGAGAGACAGATTTAAGTATTGATGAAACAGTGTAAGAGAGCCATAATATATATAAGCAATTGGGTGGTTGTGCAACATGATAGCACTATGTACTCTTAAATAATTACAAACATAAATTTTTTTTATTTGGTGCCTTCTGGAATACTGCATTTACATTATGATTGGAAAAGTATTGTGCATTTATAAGTGAAAAACTGTTTTATTCAAATGTAGTTATTCAATTAATTAATTTGTTTAACTCTTTAGATCGATGAGATTCATATTGAATTGTACCTGTAAGCCATTTTTAAATTTTTAAAAATTAGGCTCTCGTGACTGCTGGAGAATCTTTAATGGTATCAATAAAAAGGACAAGTCTGTAATTCCACCTCTTTTGTATGGTTCAGACTTTGTCACCTCACCTAAAGACAAACTGAATTGTTTGCCAAGAACTTTTCATCAATACCATCTCTTGATTCCACTAGTTAAGTTCTACCTGATATAGCCGTCAAACAGGTTGATTCATTGCTCGACATCCGTATCACTCCTTTTTTCTCCGGACAACATACCTGTTATAGTCTTGCAGGTGTGTTCTCTGGAGCTGTCGTCTATCCCTTCAAAACTATTCAACAAGTGTTTAACAGTCTTATTTTCCAGCCTGCTGGAAAGCAGCATCTGTTATCCCTATTTTTTAAAAACTCTGGAGAGTGATCTGATTCGTCTAACTACTGACCCATTAGTCTTTTTCCTATCATAAGCAAGGTTTTTGAATATTTTAATTAACAAACACTTAATCTCTCATCTTGAATCTAATAACTTACTTTCTGATCATCAATATGGATTTCAATCTTTTCTTTCTACGGTTGATTTGCTAACAGTAATAACAGATAGGTTTTATTGTGCATTAGATAAAGGTGGAGAGGTTAAGGCCATTGCTCTTGACATTTCTAAAGTGTTTGATAAAGTTTGGCATGCTGGTCTTCTACATAAACTTTCTTCTTACGGTGTATCTGGAAACATCTTTAAGATTATTAAATCCTTCCTTTCCAATCGTAGTATAAAAGCACTCTTCTTCTTATTCTGTAACCTCAGGGGTTCCTCAAGGTTCAATCCTTGGCCCTATACTCTTTTTAATTTACATAAACAAAAGGTGGCATTGTTCGCTGATAATTCTACCATTTATTCTTGTCACGATAAGAAGCCAACTCTCTCTGATTGCTTGCAGGGGGCATTTGAGCTTGAAAAGATCTCACTTCTGTTACAGCATGTGGCTAACAGTGGCTGGTGAACTTTAATTCAGATAAAACTCAATTTTTTATCAATCGTTATCGCAATAATTTAGACCTTCCTATATTTATGAACGGTAATGTACTTGATGAGTCATCTACCCTTCATCTTCTAGGATTAACTCTTACTTCTGATCTTTCTTGGAAACCTTATATCAAATCCATTGCAAAATTAGCATCTGCTAAAGTTGCATCTTTTTATTGAGCTCCACACTTTCTTACTCTGGATTCTATTCTCTATAAATCTCAAATCCGGCCTTGTATGGAATATGGATCTTCTAATGATGCCCTTTCTCTTTTAGACAAGATACAAAAACGCATTGTAAACATACATGAACCTGCCCTTGCAGCCAACCTTCAACCTTTGTCACATTGTCATAATATTGCTTCTCTTTCTCTTTTCTACAAATACTATAATAGGCACTGCTCTAAAGAGCTAGCGTCTTTTGTGCCATCTACTAAAATTCATAAAAATTAAAATTAAGTCTCATCCTTTTTCTGTTACTGTTACTTAGTGCTCCAAAAACACTTATTCGTCTAGTTTTTTTTTCTCGAACATCAGTTCTTTGGAATTTGCTTCCTTCACCTTGCTTTTCTGATTCATATAATTTGCAATCTTTTAATCGTCTGTCAATCGTTATCTTACTCTACAATCTTCATCTTTTCTCTTCCAGTAACTTCCAACACTAATTAGTGGTTGCTTGCAGCCTTGTTGGAAGCGAAGATGTTGAATAAAAAAATTTTTTGATAAAGATAACATACTTCTTCACAGTAAATAAGTAAATAAATTATAAGATATTTTTTATTCAATTTATTTTAGCACTTATTCACTGTTTTTTTTATAATGTATTTATTGAATATTTGAGAGTTGTTCAAATAGTAAGATTTAATAAAATTATGTGTTGTTAAACTAAACTTTCGATTTAGATGTATGTTTGTGTTCTGTCTGATCCTCTGGCGTGGTGTTGACTCACCCATAAGTTGATTTGTATTTGTTTGTGTTCTGTTTATTCTCTAATGCAGCGTGAGCTCAGTAACTAACTACTTACTCCAACTACAAAACCTACACTCACCTTAGACTCCTGTATTTTGTTAGATGCAGTGTTTTTCCTAATGCACTTCCAAAATGTCATGCCTGGTTTTCTCAAAGTACTGTTGCGGGAAGTAACTCCTTTTAACTACTCCAGGTCAGGTCAGGATAATCGAGATCAATCTTGCTACTGGTATCACGTAACCCATTACCACCTGCAACAAGCCCTGCTGCCTTGCAGAGTGTTTTGTCTTCTTATGCAAAGGCTAGGAGAAATAAACTCCGACTAAACATCCCCTGCCTTGGGGCTCTTGGTTGAGTAAAGGCTAGAGATGGTGTCTCGATAAAAATACTCATCTTGGGCAGATGTTAACTGCATCCTGTTACTGTCTTGTAGAAGGCCCCCTTCTTCATCTATTAGGCTGGCGTAGATGTAACCTGTGTTACATTGTTTCCTGCCTAGAATGATGAATACTGGATCTCCTTGACTCTACTCATAGAATTTTGCTTATGCCTCCTTGATAATGGCTATGCAACTCTTCCTGTTATCCCCATATGAGGGTACAGGTCTAAAACTCAGTTTAATGGTTCTGAGGCCGACTGGTAGTAAGGTTTCCCGAACTCTGTGGTAGCTCTAAGAGAGGCTGATTCCATCAACAGCTGCAAAATATCAGAGTATTAACAGTGCCATGTTGCGCATGGATGGTGTCCCTGTTAATGCTTTTGGTGTGCATTGTCAAGGCCACATAAGGAGCCCTATGTCACGGCTTAGGGTTAATTAACAGGACTGAGACAACTGCATAGCTCATTAATTAGGAGGCTGTGCTCTACCTATGAATGAGTCTAGTTCTTATTAAACCCAAATCATGACCAAAGTAACCAAAAATTTAAAACCTAAAAAACCATCTCCACCACCTAAATGTTTTAATATATCTTTTACAAATATTCGCGGTCTACGAAGCAACTTTCCATCAGTTGAGTCTTACCTCCTGCAAAATTCACCAGACTTGCTTGCACTCAGTGAAACAAATTTAAGTTCTGCAATTCCTTCTTCAGATGTCAGTGTTGATGGGTACTATCCTTTGATTCGTAAAGACTCCAATAGTCACATGCTAGGTTTAGAGGTATACATACGCATTAATTCCCCTATTTGTCGTGAAATCAGGTTTGAATCCTTTGCCCATTCTTTTATGTGCTTTCGCCTAGCACCTCTTCACTCTATCACCTTTCTCTTTGTTCTTTATTGTTCTCCTTCTTCCCATGATTGCACTCTTTTAGATGTTATCTCTGATCAAATTGACCATGTCCTCTCTCTTTACCCCTCTGCCATTATTGTTGTTGTTGGTGAT